TCTCTCTCTCTCTCTCTCTGTTCCTGTGTTTCCAACTTACTATGGATTTGTGATTGCGCGCCGAGTTATGCCGGTCTTATCTCATGAATTGGCCGAATCGCTGCTGAAAGCTCAGCTTTCTGAGAAAAAAGGTGGAAACAATATTCGACATGCACTGAACGAAGAATACCTAGTGTTGGGTGAGCATCGCTCTCAAAGCGGGGTCTGTCGAGGCAGACTTACAAATTCTACGTAAATCGAGTGGGATCCTCGCATTGAGATGAAGACAAAACCAAATAGGGTTTAACTTGAAGGGCGTTCCACTTGAAAAAAGCGGAAAGTTTGGGCTGTGAGGTTTGCACGCATCCCCGACATCGGGACGCGGTAAGTATGTTGGCTATTGCATCGAATTGGCACTTGCACTTGTGTCCTCACTGCCTGCTTTTGTGCCCGAACTAGTCTCGCTCGCCCCTGACAGACCCGTCGCCTGCACGTGGTTGGCGTAAAGTTCGACGGTGTTTGTTTGGAGAACTCCGCCAACCATCGGATTTGGCTCGAAGAGTCCTGCACCGTCACGATTTCTGGGCTCAGATAGTCCCCCGACCCACGAAGACGGTGCTCAGCAGCAGATCTCGACGGAGGCCCCCCTTTGCTTTAAATTTATTCCGAACGGGGGGACGTTATCCTTCCAAGACCTGGGGGACGCAATTTGGTCCTTTAAAGGCGAGGGGGAGCGGGCTTGCTGTATGTTTGACATCCTTCCTGCTTTTTTGTGTGCACCGCATCTGCGTGTGGATGCATTTTGTTGCTGGCTGTGGACACCTTGAGCCTAAATCGCTACTTTCTCCGTGGGGGACGCCTTTTGGTTGAATGAAAGCAAAGTTTTTGCCGTAGCGTCAACCCCGACATCCTCGCTTCGGCCAAGAACTGCAACCATGTCACCTAGCACACACCCCAGCAGATTCAAAGTTTGCCGGGGGGTGTCCCATGATGGGACTCGACAGGTGTTCTTTCTGTCTCTCCCATGCTCCGCCCCGAAACGCAAGCAACACGACCGACATGATGCAAAGCCTCAAGCTCACCCAGCATCTACCATTGCCTTGCGACGATTGGCTCACTCTACGACGCGAAAGTACTGGCTGGTGGCCCTGACCGACGAGGTTTGTTCCGCATGACGAAAGGACATAGCCACACTTCCCGTTTCGGACACCCTGTCAAGTACTTTTTCTTTCGTCAAGGTTGTGGTGCAGAGTGTTCTCTCTTCTTCTCCGGGGCCTAGGGAGCTGTCCAGGCTCCCCGCACCGCATGGTGCACCCCCTTCTTGGGGGCGTTGTAGGGGAACTGCAGGTCGGTAAAAGATATGGTTCACACACACATTCTCTCTCTCTGTCTCTCTCTCTTTTTCTTCCACAGGGCATAGGGGACTGTCGAGGGCCCCCGGCCTATTGGCACCCCATATGTTATGGGGCTTTGAAGGGACGTGAAAGCGGTACAGGGTTTTCATCAGGATGACAAGATATGCTACCCAACAACAAGGTGACAGTAAGCATGTTGGGATAAGTGATTCTTTGATGCATCCCCCTCCTTCGGCACACATATTGGCTCGAAGGCAGGTTTGCACTGACATGGCATGGTGGGCGGAGTAGACATCTGCAAAGCAGAATTTACAAGTCACGTCTTACAAATCAGTGGGAATGTTATCGAATCCCCCTGCAGAGACATCTGTCACAAGAGTATTTACAGATTGCTTGCATCCCCAGGCACTGGGCGTAGGATCAGTGGGGAAAAAGACTGTGAGTAAACAAAGACCCTGAAAATAACAAAACGCCAAGGCCAACTGCAAACCACGCTCAACCTAACCCGGACGCAAGCGACTCCTGTTCCCCTCTGAAAGTACTCTGTGCATATCGAATTTCAACAGCCTACTCAGAGTCGTTCGGCATCCCCCCGCCCCCCCGCTCAGCGAAATTGGCACATCAGTTCTTCTCTCCGCGGCTGTTCTGCTTGTGTTCCCTCACCACAGACGCTGCGTCTTCCCCCATAGTTCGAAGAGTCCGCCCGAGAAGCTTGAGCCAGAATGGCTCGAGCCAAGATGGTTATTCTCTCTCTCTGCGTCTCTCTCTCTCTCTCTCTCTCTCTCCCTCTCTCTTGCTTGCTTGCGACCCACGCATTCGCGCAGCCCATCCATCATATGGACAAATGGGCTCGGCTGTAAAGAAAGAGCGGCTGCCCGCCAGATTCAGGCCCAGGTTGGGCGTGTGCTTGCTTCTTCCCGAGGTCGCAACAACCAGTGTCAGGTATTTCAGAAAAGAACAATACCCACTCGGTGTCTGGGCAAAAAAATTGACCAGAGGTGTTCAACGGAGAACATTTGTTCGAATTACCTGCCTTCCACTCTCCTGTCGGGTTGGGCACACCACACTGAGCATTAGCGAAAGTGTGCAAAAGCAAAGCCCCCGGTCAGCGAATTCGACTACCTTCTTTTGCAGCGGGCGCGTTACGCGAGGAGTTGAGCGAGTTGTACATGGAAGGAGCTTTGCCCCAAACTAGGGGCTTACCACATGGTGTGCACCAATTGTACTCGTGTTGTACTCCATATAGCTGTGGTAATCTTTCTTTGGTGCTGGCCTTGTCCGGCTGGAGTCCCCACCTCGGTAGTTCACTTGGTTTGCCTGGTCTCATGGTACCTGCTGCTCACCCCTCTTACTTTGTGTGTCCTCAGCCCTGGGATTCCTCTGCGTCATGGCATATCGTGGCGCCACCCCCGCCGAAGCAAGGGGCCAAGGTCACGGAAGGGCTTCACTTTGCTCGAGCAGGCATTCACCCTCCAGGCCTAGCTAGAGAGCTCTGGAGGACCGCTGCCGAGCACAACCCCCAAAGAGAGGCACGGCAAATGACTTGAGCCAAAATGGCTACTGTACGTGAAACTCACTCGCTCACTCTGTAACTCGCTCTCTCTCCCTTTCGATTCACACTCTCACTCTCTATCTCACTCTTACTAGCCTCCTTCGTTCCGGCCAGGTTGGCATCCTCAAGCTTTGGGACGCCGAAAAGACGCTTCTGCAAGCCTGCGAGGGGCCAGAGGGGCAGGGAGAGCGAGGGAGGAAACGAGAGACCGAGAGGGATAGAGCAATGTCGAGAGTGCTCGGTGAAACATGCGACATGACATTGCTACCCTTCCCATCCAAAATAGTTCAACCCAGCCTAGATCACTTCGGTTCAAGTGCTGGGCCAACTCGCTTTTCGCCATGGCCTTGGACCACTCCTGTCACGAGCACGACTAGCAGAACTTTCGCAAGCCGTTGCATCATCAGCGACATGCCTCTCATGAGTCTCTCTTACTGGTAGAAAGTCAAGTTAGAGCCGAGTTGGCAGTCGACCATGACATTTGCCACGATGCTCAGCTTGGCTGAGCAAACTGCCACTGCTGACTTGTGCAGCAGGTACAATCTTCCAAGGCTACATGCCGCCCTTACACGCAGAAACACACTCACACGTGGCGCGATACAATGCTGGCAAAGGTCGACCGGAAATCAAGCCACCTCCCTAATTGCGATGGTCGGAGAGTCTACTTCACTGACTTCGTTGTCCACGTCGGTCTCCTGGAACAGTCCTGCTTGCCATTGCAACGTTGGCGAAGCAACCCCCGGCACGAGCCAAACAGGAGCGGGTGACGAAGGCAAGCTACCTGCCTTACTCCGCAGGCTGGCTTAGTAAACTGAGATAACTAAGCTGCTTCTCTGAGACTCCCATTCAAGACACACACGTCACAGATACGCAGCTGCTTGCTAGATGGCCTGCTTCCCCATCTGGCACCCACTTCCGTCTGCACGAAGTGGGGCCACTTTCAGCATGTTATGCGGACGTCAAAGGCTCACAAGACACTAAGGGTGTAACTGGCTCCTCGTATGGCACTGTTGTCACCACCAGAGCTTGGCCCACCCCATACGATGATGCCACCGTCACCTGCACAAGGAGACGGAGATATGATCAAAGGCAATCAGCACGTCCAGACAAAAACACCAAAACCGCGTCCTCGCAATGCCGCGAAAGCACCGCTTGAAGCGTGGAGACGTTGGATGCCGTAAAGTTCAGCCTAAGGGCAAAAAGCCAATACCAACTCATACCAACTCTCTCGTCTTCTTGCACTTGAAGCCGCGCCAAGCCACATGTCCAGTGGTCCCACGTAAAATAGCATCAGGAAACGGCAGCTTCCGACACTAATTCCCTGGCCTGAACGTCGTTGCTGTTCCCACCAAGGACTGCAAAGCCCCAACTGACCACTCCTGTCCACTCGGAAAACGCAAGTTATCAGCCCCCAGAAAATCCTGGACCGATCTGTTGCCTCCATCTCTGCGCAACGCAGCGAAAGCGCGGCGGCTGGCCACGATGTCCACCACCTCAAATGGGCCGAGAACATGCCGGGCTAGCTGAGAGAACTGCGAGTTCAGGCCTCGGTCAATTGATCACTAACTGCACTGCAGTCGCCGCCGAACGCATGGTTGCCCCAGGTCAGCACGCGGCCTTGCCGGATGTGAGTACAAATGCATGCTCGCAGCTCGCCAAGTTCCTCTCTGCCTTCCATCGTGAGGGCCGCAAAAGCACCCGCCGATCCGCGCAGCAGAGAGACTTGATAATCTGCCAGCACCTAAAACACGCAGATGCCGACGTTGTGCAAAAGAGTAACTTGCTGTCGTTGCGTTGGGGCAGGTACGGAGCTGTCACCGCCCTGAGTCGAATCGCCCCATGTGAAGACACGGCCATCGCCTCACTGCAAAATACAGATCCACTTCTGAAGGCGGAAAACCAAACCATCAAGGGAGAGGAATTGAATGGCCACACACCAATCGAGCTAGAACACGCCGCAGGGCAGCAAATGCTCGTCCACAAGCAGTGATGGAAACGACCCCATGCAGGTCGGGGTTTTGAATCGTGCAATCCTGGTCTCAGAGCCCACAGAGCAAATACATTGGAATGTTGAGTTGGCTGTTGCAGTCGAGCATCGCCGCCGAAATTGCTGTTGCCCCACGTAACGACCTGGCGTGAATTAACTCTGAAGCACATGTCTGCGGACGAGCGCACTACTCCAAGCGCATTCTTCAATGTGTCAATGCAATGTCTACACATACAAGGTCGCAACAAAATCTTCGGTCCTTGCCACGAACAGTGTGATTACAAGATGGCACGGCGGACAGCGATCCCCGCTGCAACATGCTCCGGCAGATCGCACAGGCAAAACATTGCTATGCGCTGCCGCATTTTTGGAGCATGGACCAGGAGTGATGTCATGTTGTCAAAAATCACGCACAGCTGTTGGGCACACAGGCACGCTGCAGTAGGAAAAGCGCGGAACTCTGAAAATGCCACAAGTGGGAAGGTGTCGCTGGCACATCTTCATGGGAAGGGGGACCTAGACACGTAGAATTCTCGTGGAAACCCGAAGGCGGTGCATTACCCATGCTCCGAAAGCATGCAGGATCCCGCTGCGAGTCGGGAGGCCCTCCGAAAACATTCCTAACGGCTCGCTTGCCTCACCATCTTGGTTCACCGCAGCGAAAGCCCCATCAGAGGCAGCCAAGAAAGCGATGTCCACCAGACGATCAGCCACAGCGCCTCGCCAAGCTTCTGTCGCGATTATCGACTGAACACTTTTTAACCTAAGCTTGCAACGAGACGCTGCAGCTGCCGCCGTAGTCGGCGTTCCCCCAAGCAAAAGCTCGTCCATCGGCCGTGAGTGCAGCGAAAGCATCCTGCCGCTCTACTCGAGTTCACGTACACAACCCTTCCACATTTAACCCTGGCCTGTGAAGACAGGCTCTGCCGAAAAAACGCCTGGCCTGCACCTACTTGTTTTGGACCACAGCTCTCACTTCGGTGCTTAAACTCACGTTAACACCGCCTCCGAAAACTTTATGTTCGTCCGAAAGAACAAGTCCGTTACGAATCGGAAAGGTAGAACAGCAGCGGATGCTCTTTCCTTTTTCCGACGACTATTTCGCCGCAGCGGTTGGAGATCGGACCGGACGAATCCAAAAAGCCGAGCTACGGAGCTGACTACTCGGTTACCTGGTGGGCCCAAGTAAGGTCGGTACCGGGAACCGGGAAACTAACAAAAGCTGGTTGCAGCCTACCATGCCTACCTACAGAAAGGACAGGCACCGGAAAGATCTAAATCCACTCCGGATGAAAGGAGGAGAAGAACGGAGGTGGGAAAGAAATCCTAACACCCCGTCGATGACGGAAAGGATGTGCTTTAAGTCGAACGGCTGCGGTCGAGTTGCCGTTGCGATGCTCTCTGAGCAAACAGCCTACATCAGCCTACGATCATCCGAAAAAACAGTCGTCCGAGAGCACTAGTCCGTCGCGTTCGGTGTTTGGCCAAAATGGAAAGGTAAAAGCAGCGGACGCGCTCTCCTTTTTCCGATGGTAATAAAGCCGCAGCTCCGGGTCTGGAATGGACCGGTCGGAGATCGGATCGGACCAATCCAAGAAGTCGAGCTACCGAGCTGAGTATTTGATTACCCGGACGAACCCAAGTAAGGTCGGTACCGGGAATTGGGAAACTAACAAAATGCTGGGCGCATGGCCAAAAATATACAACAAAGCGGAAAGCGCAGGAGCAAGCCAAATTAGGAGTCCAGAGCGGGAAAAAGACAGCTTTGATGTGCGTCGGCCAGGACGGGCGAGGAGGGCCAGAAAGTAGTCTCCACGTATGGCGACCTCGTCCTCCGGACGGAGACTCGAGGCAGGAGGGTCCCAGTCGCGAGTGGGTGCATCGTCTACAGCGGGATGTGATCTATGTAAGATGAAATGCAGAAGTAGTGCTGCCACTCAAAGTACACATGCAAAACTGACGAAGACCCTTCACGGTCCAAAGACCATTCCAGGATACGGCATCGGACGGGCTGTTATCACAGCGGCTGATACAGTGAACCGGATGACGCGCGGCATGAACAAGGAGCGCCAGGCAGCACAAAAGTGCCAACTGACCCAAAACTTCCCAATCGCAACTTAAACTTTTGGGAAAGGATCCGGGGCAAAGCAGGGGAAGAGTTCCTGAAGCTCAAGACAAGAAAGACTGTGTGGCCGGAAGGAACGCTACAAAACCTCCAATCCCAGCATGCTTCCCGTCGGCGCCAGCGTCAACATACGCCTCACACTCCAAAGGCGAAGTAAGAGGCAGGGAAACCAATGGAGTGTTGTATGCCAGACAGTCCACATGTCCAACACTACGCCACTACGCGGGATTCCTGGGAGAGTTTGTGGTCAGAGTCCGAAGGCATATGCACGGAAATCCAGGCAGTGCTCACCCGGGAAACGCAGCGGAAAGGCTTCGAGGGAGGAAGTCTCCCGACTGCGAACGGATACCAGGACGGATCCCACAGGGCAAGATTCCGGACAAGATGCCAGGCCGACGTCACGAGCAACGCGAGAACGGAAAAAGGCCACTCTTCCGGACTCAGGTGGCGGGGACCCGTACAGGAGAGCAAGCGTGGGGCGGAATGCCCAGAACAACGAGCAAAACCATAAAAGTTTACTCGTGAGCTTTCGCAAGAGGTGAATTGGAACGGAACTGAATCCGATTTCGTCACTTTGCGAAGCAAATCCTGCAGGCGGATAAGTTTAGGCGGCTCCACAGTCGCCGAGAGTGGGTCCAGACAAATACGATCCACACCGGACGGACACTCAGGTACGCTTTGTGCCAGCTCATTCGTACACGGAGCACCAGCAAAAGTATGCATATGACCGTGGCCTAGACGGGGGCAGTCGGGCCAGATAAGAGCGATATAACAGGTCATCAACATAGATAGCGACGGGTCAGCATACCGGCCAGGGACTGGGTAACACACCAAAATTTAAGGTAAGGCACTGAACGACTTTGCCGCGGCGCGAGAAGCAAAGCTGTCCTTGGTCGGACGGTCGGGCTTTAACGCGACGATGGGCTTTGCTGACATAACCGCAAACAGCCTTTCCGGGGGCCGGGAAGGGCGGAATGCATTGGCGGAGTCCGGAAACAGTCGAATTTGCGACTTGTTTCGCATGGCAGTTTGTTCGGTCACTTCTGAAACACTGCTGTCAACAACCAGACGAGGATCATGGTGGGGAGCTTCAGCCCAGCTTTCCCAATGCTGACCGGGAGTGTCTCGCCTTAAATGCCGGCAGGCCTCCTTGATCGCTGCAATTTCCTTAAGAGCTGGACTTTCGTCTCCAACCTCACAGATCTCCGAGCTGGGCTCTTTTTGTGCCTCTGCCAGAAAGGCAGGCTCCCACTCCCGCCGAACGGAGTACGGACTTCTCCGGTTTTTTCCTGACACGTCAGACCGCTTGCTGCCCTGCGTCTCTTTGCCAAGATTTGGCCAAGACTTTGCACCTTTCCTGCCGAATCTGTTGGAGTCATTCGATTCCGGGAGTGGGAGATGTGTATTGTGGAGTCAAAAATGCACAGGCCGCTCCCGCCAAACCGTGTCGCGGACGGTGCGCAATCACTCTGGCCCGGATTGTTGTCACGATCTTCGTCGGGCTTGGGTAAGGCTTGGGTTTGCACCTTGCCTACCACAAACCTTTAGCACAGAATCTTTGCCGGCCGAGTTGGTCGCAGACCAGGACTCTTCGCCAGATTTCCACGGCTGAGGAGGGACCGCGTACGCGATCGACGCGAGGGAACGGAACCCTTTTGCCATGAGCTTCTCTCCGGGGCGGACCGTTTCGAGTTTTAAGCAACGCAAACAACGCAGCGGGGTCATCAAAAGCTGTGTGCTGGATGGTATCGTGATGCACGCGCAGACCAAACGGCTGTCAATATCGGGCCTGCGCCCGCGGGCCGGCCGCAGACTCAGAGGACCGGACACTGCGGGTGGCCGGTCAAAGCTTCACCATCCAAACCTGTCACAATTCCGGCCGGCATAGCGCGCACGCGGACCTCGGCGCGCAGGGTCAACGCACAAAGAGCGCAGCAGGCTGCAGCTCCAGAGACGCAGGCTTAAACTGTTTCCACAACTCTGGGAGCTTTGCGCACATCACACCAACGGGGCATTCACAGCCAGTGCCTCTTTCCTGGCCATTGCTAAGTAGGCGCCAACGGTGACGTGAGTGTCCCTGATGAGCCATTTGACGGGTGTCTGGATGGAAGAGTCTCCGGAAGTTTCCGGCCATAGAAGGGAGGGGGGGGAAAACCCTCGCACGCCTGACCTTTGTAGAAGAACGTCGACCTTGGCAACTTAAGAAAGCCAACCACCGCAGCGCCACATCCCTGAACTTCGTGCCACCCGTAGGTACGGACACAGACTTCCCCAGGTAAACTAGCTAGGAGCAAAGCCCGCGGGTTGCGCAAGGCCATGCTCCAGCCTCTTCCGAAAGAAACTCTTGCGGCAGAGTCGCGTAGTAAGCTTCACTTCGGGCGGGGCGCAATCTGCGCCTTCAGCACCACCGTGGGGCTGAGTGCCCCACTCCGACAAGTCCTTTGCAAGAGGCATTCCTACAACCTTTTTCCAATGCCCAAAGTTGAGCTGGATGAACCTGGAGGTGAGCTCATCTTTGTTATCATCTGGGACTTTGAGATGTCTTTACACACAACGGTTGACTTCAAATCCGTGTGTCCGAGCCAACTCTCTCAACGATTTGCCGTCGGCATGCGTGGCTACTGTGATGTTGGCCTCTGGTGTGCTTCCCATGTCAAGGGGCTGAGAACTTAGTGAACGACGCGGGCCACCAAACTTGGTTCACTTTAAGAAGCACGGGTCGTCAAGCTGAGCTTTAGGGCCAACTGGGTGGTTTCGGTTTTGCGTGCGTGCCGTTTTAGCAGGGCTTGGCTTGGAGAACGCCCCCGCTGGTCTCCGCCAGCAGCACCCAACAGACTCCCCAGTTTGGGAATCAAGTCTTTCGTGCTTTGCGTTTCGAATTGTAAGCTGCAGGGCCTTACATGCGCCAAAAGCGCGCTACTTTGCTTGTCTTCAAAGGTAACAGTTCTGTCGTGACACGCGAAGAAGGGGAGAGGGATCTGTCAGACTTGCGTGAAGGAACCTGCTGCCAGCCAGTCCCTCCGTGCTCTCCTTTACTGGCGCCTCTCGTAGGGCTACGACCGCTACCGGGACCAGGACCAGGGCTACGGCTTTCCTGGCCCATCTCTTCGAATTTCGCAGAAACAGTAGCCAAGCTTTCCAAGAGAAACTTCGCAATTCCGACTTTGTGAGATCTTTCGCCGCCCCCAGGCCAGGGGTTTGAAGCATCACCTACTCGGGTACTTAGCAACGACATGCAACGAGTTCCAACACTCGTCTTTGCAACACGAAGCTCCAGCTTAGCTTGCAGCGACAGAGGCAACGAACAAGACGAGCAGAATGCAAAGGCCCAGGCGTCCTCTGTGTGAGGCTCGTCGGCCCCCGGCACGAAGCAGTGTCTCTTCGGACACTGCTTGCCAAGTGGCCGTAGCCTCACCACTGCTGTGTTCGCCAACTTTTGGCTCAGAACTTTAGTTTTTCTGGTCGAAGCTCTTAGAGGGCAGACGCCCGAAGGACTTGCAAGGGACACGCTTCATAAAGAACCTACAAGCCCTTGTTCAGCACGACATGCGCGCCCCAGCCAGTCGACGAATATGCCCGTTTCCGAGGCCATACTCGCGGCACCTCCTGACCTGGAAAACGACTACCGGAGCTGCCTCCCCAACCCTCTGGTGCGTTTTAGTCTAAGCCATCGATGCTTCGAGGCCCGAACACGTTGTAGGCCTCCTCTGAGCTTTCTGCTTTTACTGTCTGGGGAACAGGCCCGGTCAAGCTGAGTGCAACTGCCAGAATTGAAAGCTAAGGCCCCAGCAGGTGTCCAGGCCCCAAACAAGAGGAGACAACAAGACGCCAAAACCAAACCAACTGGGGAAAGCACGAGCAGCTGGTCCAGGGGTTTCGGCTGGCATCCGTGATTGGCGGCACGTGAAAAATGAGACACGGAGCGGTCGGTTGGCTGCGTGCGCGGCTGGCTGGCCGTCCAACATGGCATCGGCCCCGTGTCGGGGCTGACCAGTGCACAAGGTCATCGCTGCCTGCCAAAATCATTGCCAACCTTTTCCAACAACACTTTTCCAACGAATACCGAAACTCCAGATTCGTCGGGCCCGAGACGGAGGCGGCCGGGCCAAGGCAGAGGTACTCAAGGACGGTCCGGTCGGCCACGGCATCCGGCCAGGCCATCGGCAATCTCATCGACCACCACCCTGCCATGTCCCGAACTTGCCTGAAATTAATGGAAATGCGTGACTGCAATGCCTGCCTAAGGGACCGGCAAACGGAAACATAGGATGCGAGGCATCCGCGTGTCCTGCAGCCACTTACAGAGCCGTTGTATAAGCTGTGAGCCACGCCGCCGCCCTCGCCAGGGCTCCGAGCTCACCGTAATGAGACCTCAGCCTCAGATCCTCCCCCCCGCCACATAGACAGGAAGCCAGAGCGTATGGATAAAGCTGCCAGCATCCCAAACGAGCCTAAACCATTCGGAAAAGTACGAACAGTGTGGTCAAGGCAATGGAGCGGAAGCCATCCGAGGCGATGGCGGCAAAAGAAAGGACAACCAGGCAGACCTCGGAGCGGAAGCACTGTGGGGTCGGGCGAACACGCACCGGACGTAACACCAACACCGCAGCCAGGAGGAGTGGACAGACCGGGAACTCGAACTAGATCTCGCCCTTCATCGTTTCATCGTCCACCTCTGTGGCGGCGACGGGACGGGGAACGGGACGAGTTGGAATATCGTGGCATTCAGATCATCAAGCCGTGACAGCCCAAAACGACATCCTAGCACACCGTGGGTAACGGAACGGATGTGCTTAAGTCGATCAGCTGCGATCGACTTGCCGTTGCGATGCTCTCGGGACAAACAGCCTACTGCATGTCGCAATACCAGTACCGATCGTAGACCTCCCGACAATCGTTCCACGATTTTCGACCACGATGATAAGCAGACAGCACAATCCCGCTCACAGCATGCGAACGGCTCGCCACTCAATGCTGCCTGCACACACTCGCAGGCTCTACACTCGAACCTTCGCGAAACTGCTCATGCTGGTGCTGCAGAACACCCTTGTTTGTGCGAAAGTTTTGACTAACGGGATCTCTCGACCAAACTCCGGCGTGTATGAGCTGCTGCTTCAACTGTGAACGCTGCTTCCTTCTTGATCTGCCCCCTGCGGGCCGGCCCGTTCCACGACCGCAAGGTACTGCCAGCGATAAAGCTGTCGACGCGAAACACACGGAAGCATGCAACACATCACATCTAACATTGCTTTTCTGATCACGCTCAAGTTGACAAGACCCCGAAAATGAGTCGGGCATCATAGCCGACGACCATCCACTTCACCACAGCACTCTGCCGCATGCGAAGCGGCACCATCGCCCAGTCTATCTTATTGTCAAGTCTGGCAAGCCCTCCCATGCGAGCCGTCGAGGCGACGAGCTGCTTGACCTCTACGCTCATGTGCATGGCCACGACAGTGTCGCTGCTTCCCCAGGTGACCTCACGCTGGGATACTCTGAGTATGCAGACCCTGTGCTAGGCTTCACTGCAGTCCCGCGGCTACATCACCTGCAGCAGTGACGGCAGAGAAGCCAATGGCAGATGCCTTCACCGCGTGAACGTTCACCAACCGATCTTGCCTCGGATACGGGGGCTGCTCTGCAGGAGAAGACATGTCATGGGATGAACCACCGATAACGTTTTTGCATCACGCAACACAGCGCTGCTGTCACCACCGAAGGCAGCCCCGCCCCAGGTGACAACTTGCCCTGACAAGCAAGGTGTCAGCACGAGCAAGTTTGCTCCACAGCTCACGGAAAGCGTCCGGGGCTCATGCCATCTTTGCGCAAAGCCGCAAAGGCGCCTGCAGAAGCTTCCAAGGCGACGATAGGAACCTCCTCCAGCGGAGACTTCCGATTGAAGCAACATCAAGGGCACGCACTTTCAAACTCCATGGCCTGCAGCTGTACTCGCACCGCTCTGTTGTCTCCACCCCGTGCGGGGTCTCCCCATGCAACCACGCGACCTCCAGCTCTGAGTTCGTATGCCCAATCTGATTTTGCTTCCCTGGGCCGGCCTTCCGGCATGACAGCCGCAAAGGCGTAAGCAAAGGGCCCCGAGAAGATTTGAGGACATGGTGGCCTGCAACATGCAGTTGCTGATTTCCGCTGCTCGTGTGCTTCTTCATCTTCTTTGTAGACTTCTCACTGACGCTTCTGATGCCTCACGAGCGCACTGACCACATCTCCATGTTTGAGGCCAAGCTCGCTAACCCGCTCCGAGTCCTTCAGCGGCTCGCCTGCACGAGGTTCAAGGAGGTCCCATATGCTGGAAAGAATTCGACCTGAAACTTGCCTGCAACACGCTGCCTCTCTCTCTCTCTCTCAGAGCCTCCCCTCACTTCTGCTGTCAGGCCTGAGGAAGAAACAAGCACGGAAAGACTCCTGTGCAGCCGGTCCTCGCAAGCAAATCTCTGACTGCGATAAACGATGAATGATTACAGTTCGTGCTCCCTTCCTCTGCAAGCTCGCGCACGTCGCCGACGGAGACGCGTGTGGGGCTGACCTGCGAAAACGAGTCTAAACCTGGCTGGCCTTGACTAGCGAAGTGCACACCTCCAGTGCCACTGTCTCCCCGCTGAGGAGACCGACGGACAATGTGGCCGGCATAAGTCCATCATGGCTTGCCGGGACGAACTGGGATTTGTGGCGGATCGGCCTCTTGAACAAGTAAATACTGAATATGTGATCTTATCCCAGAGATTAACCCCAAACGACGATAAGCACAAACGTCAAGGCTTCGCGATATCTCTTGGAGCCATAGACATGTCTGCAAGAGCACAGAGCAGATTGCGAAGGCCCAACACCGCCACTCGCTCATCACAGAGCATCGCTCCTGGAGGGCGTCGATGATGCCGGAGCTCACCACATCCTCCAAGAGATCCTCAAAGCGCCCAAAGCAAGAGATAGCGCGCTTTCCGTGGCCCTTCTGCTTTGCCTCTGGCAAGCGGCAGGTGGACCCAAACCTGAAGGCAAAAGTTTCTTCACGGGTTGGGTCGGCACCTTCAGCCATGGGGCAGGCCTCTCTCGTTTGCTCGTCAGCGTCTCCTCTCAATGCTGTAGGTCGACGCGAACCACATGTGCGTGCGCATGATTATGCATGCCCTGCGTTCCCTGCGTGCCCTCTGTGCCAGTGCCTGTCCTTGGTCTGAGAATCGAACGCTGGGTTCTCGATCTGGCAATGCAACTCGCCCTTTAAGACTTCGGGTTCGCGGATCGCTTCGGCTCGAAGCGCAAATTCAGTCTTTTCGGGTCTGAACATGCCCCAAACTATCGGATATCGGACTGTGGCAGACAGGTTCGCCCGGAAGAATGGACAAGCAGCCCATGCTGATCCCTCAGTCAGCACCAATGCGAAGTTAAAACAGCTACACAATCAGGCCGGTTCCACCAAGCAGTTGACGAAAATCCACAAGTAGTTTTTGACATGCTGGCTCTTCACCGCCAAAGTACCTGCCAAATTCGCACAGAAAAAATCGAAACAAAGTTCGACTCGAAAATGGTTCTGTGCTTCGCTTCGCTCGCGCTTTCTCTGCCTCCACCTTTCTGCTTCCCGATCTTATCCAGGATTGCGCTCACAACCTCCAAAAGCGAAGATCGAATCCTACTCCGAGACTAGAACCGCAACTCTCCAAAGCATGGTACAACTGCTCCAACGTCGAAAGTGCTTCCTGCTTCCTGCTTCCTGTGTTTGCACCGCCGATCCACACCGCATCGAAAAGTGTACCGGCCCCGCAAAGGGCCCACACACAAATCAAGAAGTGTACCAGGGTTCATCGACACACGGCCCGTGCAATGATGACACGCCAGGTACATGGCTCAAGTACAATCTGCACAGAGATTTTCGACCTTTGAGTGCGACGACTGCGACCGGTCTCGTCTTCCCACTTCGGAAAGGCTTCTGAGGGTTGGGCAAAATCTCGCGAGGTCCCTCGAGGTCAGGTCATGTGGGGAGGGTTTGTGATGCTCGGTTTCCTCGGCGCTTGAGGTGCGTAGCTCTTATAACGCCCACAAAGTAGTCCAGCATTCTCTGTTGTCACTGATACCGTATCTCCTGAAAGACCTCCCGAATCATAGGTGATGAGCCCAAATGTTACCAAAGCACTTCAGCAAGCATCATCTTCACTTCACCATCCACAGCTTCAGCAGCAGAGCGAAGGCTCAGCTTCAGTCGGATGTGATCCACCTGTGGCTGCAACAGATGCGGCAGATACAAGCACCTTCCGAGGTTTTGTGACTGCTTCAATCACAGGCTACTTTGGTGGCCGACACTAAATCTACGAAGGATGTTCAGACTTCGATCTGTTGCGCTTGAACTTGAAGCGAGAACTGAGCGTTTGGCATCGTGCTTAGAACAGGGGATTTGGATGGTGTGAAACAGCAAACAGAGATGTTGCTTTGAACACTGCTACTAGCAGATTCAAGGAGCTTGTGGGCCAGGTCCGGCAGATTGAGAACGCACCCAAATTTCCAGACAACAGGTGACCTTCGAGTCCACGATGCGGACTCGGTTGGAAGTCTTAGACGGACAGATCAAATCCTTGTTGTCTCGGGTGAATTCAGCAGACTCGTTGAGGGATGAAGAAGCTTCAATGCAGGCTGCATTGTCAACGCTTGAGATAACACAACATGAGAAACAGGAGAGCGCCCAAGTGAGAAGTGAAGAGGTCGGGAGGCGCATCCAGGTCGAGAGTGAATTGGATGTGCGTCACAAACATGTTCTTGAGCGGGTTGTCGGAACAGAGAAGATTGGTGAGAAGCCTGGAAAGGCTGATGCGGATCTTTCAGAGAAGTTTCAACATCTTGCAATGCATCTTGAAGGAGGTTCATCACAGCAACTACCGCAGACAGCGAATGCAGCTGCTACTAGTAAGGAGCCCTCAGGAGGAGGAACCGAAGACTCGGAGAATCGGAGGCAAAACGAGAAACTGAGGTGTCCATGATGACCCCACAGCCTGAAGCAACGTGGGAGTCGGACGGCATGCAGAATGGTATGATGATGATGATGATGATGATGATGATGAACGCCAGGGTGACTTGATTGGGAAGACCGATAGCAAACCGACAACTGGATCTGAATTAGCATCATCGCCTCCTGGATTGCCGAGGTGGCACAGTCTGCATGGAAGCTCCTGAAAGACACGCCCAAGATGAACGCCAATGCGGGAGAAGCCTGGGAAGCGAGGGGTTGCATTCCGACAGCGGACCACTGAAGTAGTGGCAGTTGCCGAGGCAATCCATCGAGACTTTGCTGATTTCGTGCACGGTTGACAGAGGGTCAGCAGAGGTATGAGAAGAGAATGGAGCAGGGTTTTCAGTATCCACTGCCGGTGATTGCGAGAAGAGCTTGAAACCAGGTTGTCGTTGGTACTTCTCAAGATCCTGCCGGCTAAGATGCACTGGAACGGGGGAATACACAAGATGGAATCTCCACTGTAGTGCTCATGGAAGCCAGCTATGAACAGATGACCCCTGGGGGTATTCGGGAAATGAATTCATTGCTGCAAGACTTGAAGTCCTGGGACACGCGACGAGCTTACAGCAACTAAGGCGGTACAAGTTGGCTCAAGAACGAACTGCGACTCTGAATCCAAGCTGCACCATAGGCTAAGGCAACAGCTTTTAATCTGCGGGCACATGATGTTCAAGCGATTTCAGTGGCAGAAACATACATGCAAGCTGAAGGTGGTGAAGGTGGAGTCTCTTCTGAAAGCTCTGCTGACGCTGCATTTGCACATGAGCTTACTTCCGTGGATCAGACTGTAGAAGCTGAAGCCAAAGCCACAGCATATTGTACAGTAGCCGCGGCGCTTCCAAAGGCAAGGACCACGGCCTTTCCCAAGGCATGCGCGACCAGAGCATCGGAAAGGCATCCGCATCATCGGTGCTTGGAGACTTGAGTGCGCGGAGTGTCCAGTTGGGAATGCAGTGATGAATCAACAGCCTTCGGTGTTGGTGATTCGGGTGCAAATGAAACGATTCGCCCCTGGCACGCCGACATCAAGGATATAAAATGTACTCACACCGCTGTTGCGACTGCGAGCGGAAATCGACTAGCGGCCTTCCGGACGAGACACGGGGAGCTGTACATCAGGTCCAGTGAAAATAGCCGTGACTGGTTGTTGAGCGTTGTGGAAGCAGGTGGATCCTTCACATACGTGAGGGTGCAAGGGCCATGTACAATGACGGGGATGGACATGAGCGCCCTGTCGAGTGCAAGATTCAGAAAGGGTTACGCTTGATTGATTTTGAGTGGAAGAGCTGCCAAACATGTACCATTGAAGAGCTGAATGAAGCTGTGTGGAGTGAAGAAGTGTATCGCATGATAGTCGTCTGTACTTTCCCTGATAACCATGGGCCTGAACGCAGCTGGGGCAGTGACGTTCATATAGCACCTGAGTCCTGAGTGCATTTCTTGCGAAGCAGCTCAACTGCTCTCTGCCTCTCTGCTGAGTCTCATCAAAGCCTGACTCAGGCTTTGCATCCCCAACATGCAAACTTCGTTCACGCGTCAAGGAGGTTACTCCAGTCATGCCTCCATAACTGCACACCCCAAAAATCCACGCTTCAATCCGGCGTGATCCTGATTCTCTCGGTTCAGCCAACTTTGATTGTCTCTTGGTCCTCTGGCCTTGGAGCTGTGCTTCCTGAAAGAGCTGCCACACTGCACACCGCTACAACTCAACAACTCCTTAGCCCTCGCTTCCGTCCCAAATGGCTCTCATCTTCTCTTGACTCTCATCGACCTCATCCGGCTGCATTTTCAGGGCGCTACTTCATGGTTGCCCTGAGCAGGACAGACGGTGACGACATTCCGTTTTCGAGGCTGCTGTTCGCCAAACAGACTGAGGAGGTAGCAAGGGTTTTGATTTCTGTGATGTTCCAGATTGTATCGCTTGCCCAGGGTTTTTCCGGTTTTCCGTATCCACAATGATACTGGGAAGGAGTTGGTGGAGGGACATTTCAGAAAGCTGTGGAGCAGTGTTCCGTTTGGCCCACGATGATTGTGCCACATACGCCACACAGAACGGTAGGGCAGAGAGGATGGTAGGATTGCTGGGATCGGCGGTCAGCTCCCTCTGCAATTCGGGAGTGAAGCTTCTTGCATCGCCTCAGAGGCCCTTGATTGCGAAGGATCGTCTGCGTATGAGCGATGTAGTCTTTGTCAGAAAGGCACTAAGTCTAAGTGCCTTAGGACATTAGTTTGTGCCGAAGGCCGAAGACTGTGTCTTTTTACAAACGACGAAAGCTTCAGACATGATCAGAGTCGAGGAGGTCACTGGAGAAATCCAGCCATGGAACGACGAGAACGCAGTTTCGCAGATCATCAGAGAGCGCTTTAAACTTTAAAGCATACTGGAAGCCAGAGCTGTTGTTTAGTCTTTTCGGTCAATGGCTTATCATGAATCCTGAACTTGATGAACCTGCAATTGCCGCACTGGAGCGCGACAAGCCGGCCGAGGAGGAGAACCTCGAAGGCTGGTATGGTGTTTTTGATCTGGGAATAGAAGATGAGATGAATGACCCTGAGGCTGCTTTGAGGTTGCCTTCTGAAGAGGAAAATTGTTGGAGCTCGTGTCTAGCAACGTCTTCTTGGTTGCTACGCCGGAGGAGAGACAGCCATGGATTAATGGAGCGGGACGGAGGTTGGCAACATGGTTTCAAATAAGGCGTGGGACGAGGTGAGGGTAGGCCACCTTCATGAAGATCTAGGCCTTCCATTGAGCCATAAACTCCCACGAATACTGCCGATGACTCTTGTCTGTTCGCGCACACCATCAGAGATGCAGAGTGACAATCCAGAGTGCACTAAGAACGCACAGTCCGGGACTGCTGCTCAGCAGGAGAAGCTTCGCTTCAAACCAAAGGCCAGGCTCTGTGTATGTGAGGAAGTTCACCCAGAGATGGAAAATGCCAATGCTGCTGAGACTGTTCCGATAGAAATCCTGCGGTTGATTGCAACGCTGTTGGCTATGAATCCACGATGGACAGCTTTGTCATTGGACACCTGCGCAACCTTCCTTAACGTTTTGCTGCCACCAGGAGAACTGGTACCGATGAGGGCCTCCAGCGTGTTGATCAAGGTTAAGCTGATCCCGGAGGAAGCCTTGCTTCGGGCCAAACGGGCCATTTATGGTCTCAGGACATCCCCGACACGGTGGGAGAAGCTGAGAGATCCAATGCGGCGTGGAGCCACGTTGGAGACAGCCGACGGGGATAAGAGGTGCATGTGAAGCCAGAGTTGATCTTCATGCGTATTCAGATGTCACAACAGCGCTGGGTTGTGAAGGGAACTCGTTGCCTACCCCAAGGCCAAAAAAAAACTCAAGCACTCGAAGGGCTGGGAGCACAAGAAGGCTGGGGAGAATTCGTTCTTGCTCGCACTAAGGTGCCCGCCGCAGGGGTTCTGGGCCCGGTCCCGGGTCCGGGTTCTGGGTCCGGGTCCGGGCCCGGTTCAGCGGGAGATGGCCGGATCTCTGCTCTGATATGGTTAAAAGAACGAAGACGCTAGACACTAGACCAGACATCACTTCCACACGCGGCGTCCTGTCGATGGTGGTTCTTGGTCCGGACTTGGCTAAAACAACGGCTCTTTGGAAGTGTGTGCGGAACGCGATGTTCTATGGCATGACCTTCACGAAAAGCACCAACCGCACCTTGGGTCGTGAGTCCGATGCTTCATTTGGGAGTGGAGCATCACGATCAAGATCAGCGTATGCAATCAAGTGGGGACCCAACGGTGATCATGTATAAGTCCTCACGACAATCGCTGACGGCATACTCTACTGTGAAGCAGAAACCTGTGCAATGGCTGACGGGATTGCGGATCAGCTCCGGATGGAGTTCTTTGTGCTTTAGGTCGCGAGAGTTGAGAGTTGCCAGGCGGAAGGAGATAATGTAGCATAATTTGCTGCATTGGCAAAGCCTGGCTTTCATGAGAAGCCATGGCGCACAAGACATTTTGGCCTCAGAGCTTCACGGACCGTGACGTGTTGCCGCAACATAACAGAACACGGAAGTCATAAACCTGGCTCCGAGCTAGCTGCTGACCTCTTGACAAAGTCATTGCCACGAGTGAAGCTTGAACAGTTTCGACCAATGCTGGGGGTGATAAGGACCACGACGTGTGAGTGATGATCAGAACCACTCGAAAGCTCGGATGTGACACGTTTTGCACTACCTACCAACTTTCACTGCATGTATGGCGTTGGAAATCCTAAACATGTGGTGTGCACGTGAGTATGCTCTGTGTTGCGCCTAAGGACTAGACAGCATGGCTCAGTCACGACCGTTCCTTTGAGAACGCAACATCAAGCATTCAAGTGAGATCGCAGTAGGCGTGTCCTTGGGAACTAAAGAAACTTCCATTGGCTCGAAAAAGAAAATGCCGCGGAGGGCAGAAACCGGATACGAGGCGTCCGGGATAAGAGTCCAGAGGCTGGATCCGATACGCTGTTTTGATCTGTTTTGATAGTGTGACGCGATCGAGTAGCTAGGTTTTGAAAAATCCTCTTGTTTCAGAGCCTGAAGCTCGTGTGAGGAGGAGTGTGTTTCCACAGCCGATCCGCACACCTCGAGAAGTGTACCGGCACCGTAAAGGACCCACACACAATTCAATCAGTCAGTGTACCAAGCTTCGTCGACGCATGGCCCGTGCAAGGATGACACGCCATGTACATGGCTCAAACACAATCTGCAAAAGACGCATTCAGCCTTTGAGTGTGACGACTGCAGCTGGTCTCGTCTTCCCACTTCGGAAAGGCTTCAGGATCGTTTAAGGGTTGGGCAGGCTCTCGAGGTCAGGTCTTGTGGGGCCCTTATAACTCGTTAGGCGATGTTCATTGGCAGATAGGAGCCCGAAATGCTCCCCAAAGTAGTCCAGCGTTCTCTGTTGTCATTGATACCGTGTCTCCTCAAAGACCTCCCCAATCACACTTCCCTTCGACCATCCCTTTGTACAGGCTGACCTGGTCAGCAATGTAGGTCACGTGAGTGCCACCACGAGAGGTGTTGATGGAATTCACGAAGCTCACCTCCATAAGCCAAAGCAGGATGGGCCTTCACTAGCTGAGCACCAAGGCGTTGTGCAATGCTTGCTACGTCCAAGCCTGCTGAAAGCCAGAGCCATCTGTCAGGCCAATCGCGATTTCCCAGCGATCATTCACCACCTTTGTTTCGTTGGACTCATCACACACTATACGAATCCCGTCCATCGGTTGGTCGCACATACGAACCTTGCACGTGCGGAACATCTCGGGCTTCACATGAAGATCCACGTAGTCCTGGCAAGACTCTCCGATGCTCGAAGTGTGGATTGCTTGTAGGGGGGGGGGCAGACTTGCAGCAGGAATGCAGCTAGCTACATCAATCCACCATATCTGCCTGGAAGCTGGTCACGCCCAGGCAATCTCCGTCCAGGAAGACTTGACACCGTCCCTGTGTGGAAGCAGCGAGGTCGAAAGCCTCGCTCAGGCACAGGGATGTGCCTCGCAGTCGCTGAAGTGTAGCAGAACGCAATTCTGAGATTGTTGCACGACGTCTCATCAGTGCAACAATGTCCTGCCGGATGGACTTTCGCACCGTAGAAACGAGAAACTGCAGATGCATATTGATGCAAGGCAGACATGGGGTTTGATGGCAGCGTTTGCATGCTGCTGCTCCTCCTCGAGATTGCGCATCCCAAACCGAGCGAAGTCCGGAAAGAAAGTGACCTGCCGCACTGCCCCTGGCCCTCGCAGGTGCAGCATGTCGCCATCAGCCACGTCATAGTTTCCATACACTAACACTCACCCACTCACCCACTCACTCGGAGACAATCCGAAGAAGATCAAGAAGCGAGCGCAGCAAAGTTTAGACATAACCAGTGAGGAGCTGGACAGGCAAGGGAATAGAGACGAACGACATTTCTTGATACACCGTGAATTTACTCTCCAGGACCGTGGTCCCATTCGACACAGTGTCACATGTTGCGCTGCGTGACTGTTATCACATTAATTCGTGTTCCGTTTTTGGTTGGTGATTATATTGGGTTCTGCTGAATTCGTGCGAAGCTTTGTAAGATGAGATTTCCAGCATTAAACTGGACAGCATTGGAACACCAACTTCCAATGCAATGTCTTCGTGCATCACCATATCATTAGTTCGGGATCTATCTAAAGTGAAAAGCGAAAAAAAAAAGAAGTACTTTGAGAGTTCGGCAAGTTTTTTTTTCATCCAAGGGTGTCAAAGGTTGACAATTCGCATTGAAGGAAAGAGCTGAATAGATTCAAGCCCATGCGATGTAGGATTTCACGCTTGCATTGAAAATGTGCAACTTTTATTCCGGACTGGTTTTTGCTTTGTCCAACAGGTTTTCAAGTACCTAGCTGTCCTGGTGGCGGTTGCAATGAAACTGTGTTATTATGACTCATGACTCATTTCCAACGACATTTGTCTCATCTACACATCTTGGTAGTTTACGGTCGATGTTTGTCTGTTGGTTGTGATTCCTCCTGGGCTACCGCAGAAGGATGTGTCATCTGGGAAACACATTCGTGGAAATGGCTGCTTGCATTTTGGAGTTGAGTCTCCGGTGAATTTTGTGTGAACTGACTGGCGCTACCTCTGCAAAATAAACGCTGTGTAAATATTCGGATTCACCTTCTTGTGCACTGACATGAGACATGGCTGGTCGTAGCTATTGAATTAATGCTTATCACGGCTTAAAGGTGCTGTAGAACTTGGATTCTCTGTACCTTTCCAGTGTGTGTGTGTGTGAGTGGTCTACTTTAGCAAATGCCTTTTCCTAGCCTGGAAGGATGATTGCCATATTGTCGCCACAGTTTTCGGCAATGTTTTGTGGCCTACGTGCCGAAAAAGTATTGTGTGACCTGCCTGGCTATTATTTGTTAAAATTGTTGCCTATCCGTTGTCCGTTTGCCTGGTCCCCGAGGTAGCTTCAGGACGCAATGATAATGTCCAGAACTTGCAGAGACGCCATTGCTTTTGATTGTTGCAGCTTACCGCAATCGACGTGTTGGCACATTGGTACCATTGTCACGATGTCGTGTGTGTGTGTGTGTGTGTGTGTGTGTGTTTGTGTGTGTGTTTGTGTGTGTGTTTGTGTGTGTGTTTGTGTGTGTTTTTGTGTGTGTTT